AGAGGCGGTGCGGTTGGCGCAGGATAGAGCAGGGGTTAGGGCTGTTGTGCATAGGGTCGCTATGAGTCGGAAACGACTCGACGGCACATAACAACAACAATATGAGGAACCCGTACACAGACCCAGAAGGTGTTTAAGCAAAACAAGAGGATACTGCATGGTTTAAAATGAAGAGAAGTGTGCATCAGGGTTGTATCCTTTCTGCATACCTACTCAATTTGTAGGGCGCCAGTAGGATTATATGTCAATATAAAGAAAACCAAAATCTTCGCGATTAGATAAAAAAGTAACACGGCAAACATAAAAAATAGAAGTTGTCACAGATTTCATTTTGCTTGGGTTCACAAACACCCAAGGTAGCAACAGTCAAGAAACAAAATGATGGAGTTCCGGTGGCCTAGTGGCAAGAAGCTGCACTGCAGTCCTGAAGTGAAGGCACGCAGTTCGAATCCACCAGATGCTCTGCTGGAGAAGGAGGGGCAAACTCCTACTGTACCAGTCAGCTCTGATTCTACAGTACATAACAACAATAAAGATTTTTTTAAAAAAGAAATAAAATGATGTATTGTCATTGTCGACTCATAGCGGCCCTATACACAATAGCTCTAAACACTGCCCTGTCCTGAGCCAGTCTCACTGTCTCCGACACACCTGCCCCCATTGCTCCAGTCACTGTGTCAGTTCATCTCATCCAGAGTCTTCCTCTCCTGCACTGTCTCTCCACCCTTCCGAACACGATGTCCTTCTCCAAGGACCGGTCCTTCTAGGAAACATGTCTAAAGTATGTGACATGGAGCTTCAAAATCCCCACCTCCAAAGATTAACTTGGCTTCACCTTCTCCAAGAAAAACCAGTTTATTCTCTTGGCAGTCCATGTAATGTTCCATACATTTCTCCAGCACCACAGCTCAAAGGCATTGATTCTTCTGTCATCCTTAGTCACTATCTAGCTCTCTGATATATAGCAAATAATTGCAAATACCAGGGCCTGGATCAGACGCACCTTAGTCTCTACAGTTGCACCGTTGCTTTTCACCACTCTAGAGAGACCCCTGATGGCTAACTTCCCCAGTGCAATTCGTCGTTGGATTTCCTGACTGTTGGTGCCAAGAGGGTTGATTGTGGAACCAAGCAAGCTGAAGTTGTTAACAATCTCAGTCTCTTCTCCATCTATCATGATGCTGCCAATTAGCCCAGTGGTGAGAGTCTTTGTTTTCTTGATGTTGAGCTTCAATCCATATTGAACACTGCAGTCCTTTTCAGTTTTGGCAAGCAAGGTTGTGTCATCCGTGGAACGCAAGTTGTTGATGAGACTTCCTTCAATTCTGGTAGACGTATCTACTGCCAAGGGCCTCTTTAAAGTGCTAAAGAGTATGGCTGTCATTTTATTTTATTTTTTTCAATGGATTTGTGGACCCTCCTTGGATATCATCATCATCATCTACTAGTTTATTTACAAAATTTGAACACAAATTTGAACAAATTCTTTGCATTTCCCTCACCTTCCCCATCCATCAAATTGTATTACCCAATGATTAATCACCCCTACCCCCTGCACATCCATATCCCTCTGCTTCCAGCCTCTCCCACCCCTCCTGGATCCTTATACTCATTCTACAATAACAGTTTTATACAATATTTATTCTCATGGGACTGAGTTAGTTCACTCAGCGGGACTGAATTAACTCACTTAGCATAATGCTCTCCAGTCCCTCCCAAGTTAGGCAATAATTTACAAAGTTATTGCTCCTGCGTGCTGCATAGTATTCCATTGTGTGACTATACCATAATTCCTCAATCCATTCTTTTTTTTCAGCTTTAAAGTTTTCATTTTATTTGATGACCTATTTATTCTCGAGCCGTAAGTGTTTGTTTCTTCTGGGAGATCTTTTTCTTCTGGGCAACCTCCTCTTCTGGTTTAGGAACAATCTGTTCCTTTTCAGTAAGGATCATCTCACTATGGCAGGGGGAGCTCATGTAGGGGTTAATCTGACCATGAGCTCTGTATGTGCGGTGGCGCATCTTGGGAGCTTTGTTCACCTGGATATGCTCAATGACCAGAGAATCAACATCTAAACCTTTAAGTTCAGCATTACTTTCGGTGTTTTTAAGCATACGTAGCAAAAACTCGTCACTCTTTTTGGGTCACCGACCCTGTGTCCAACCCTACTGTTTGGCCTGGGCACACCTACCAACTCCACCATTGTATCGTTGGAAGGGCACACACTGCTTTTGCAAAGTGGCATCTTTCAGATACTTGGTGGCTTTCTGAATATGCATACCCTTGATGGCCTGGGCAGTTTCTCGGGTGTTCTTAAAATGGACCCGGAGATTTGAGCCTCTTGATTTGCATGACTTTGTGGGGTTTTCCGGGTCAAGCGAGTAGCGAACCATGTTGGGAGATTACCTGAAGCCGCTCACAGGAAAAGCTCAATCCATTCTTTTGTGGTTGGACATTTGGGCTGTTTCCATATTCTTGTGATGGTGAATAATACTGCTGTGAACATTGGTGTACAAATCTACGTTTGTGCCTCAGTTCTCTCATTTTCTCAGGGTAGATTCCAAGTAGTGGAATAGCGGGGTCATATGAAATTTCTATGTTCTGCTTTTTGAGGAAGCGCCAAACTGCCTTCCAGGATGGCTGCAGCATTTTACAATCCCACCAACAATGTGCAAGAGTTCCTTTCTCGCCACATCCTCTCCAACATCTATTACTTGCTGCCCTGTGAAACTTTATCACTCTTATTGCAGTGAGACGGTACCTCATTGTGGTTTTGATTTGCATCTCTCTTACTGTATGACTGTCACTTTAAAGAATAAACTGTAGTGTTTTCAATTACCTCATGTGCGTGTTAAAGTTGGGAAGTGAATGAAAGAGAATGAAGACTTGATGTTTTTGCATTGTGACGTTCACAAGAGTATTGAATATTGCAAATCTGTCTTGGAATAAGTGTAGCCAGGGTGCTCCTTGGAAGTAAGAATGATGAGATTTCATCACATATACTTTGGGCATGAAAGGACATCATGTAAGAGGTCATTGAAAGAGAGGAAGACCCTTCATGAGGTGGATTGACACAATAACTACAGCAACGGGCTTTATTAAGCAAAACGAAGATTGTGAGGAGGGCACAGAATTGATTTCATTGTGTAGGTCACTTTGAGACAAGGATGAAGAAACTGTCTCCTGTACTTTGAGCATGTTGCTAGGAGAGGCTATTCCTTGGAGAGGGACATGATGTTTGCAAAGGTCAGTGGAAGAGAGGCAGACCCTCAACCAGGTGGATTGTCACAGTGACCGCAGCAATGGGCTCGAGTGTGTCAGAGATGGTGAGGACGACACAGGATAGACCGGGTTCAGATCCACTGTTCATAGAGTCACTATGAGTGGTCCTTGACTCAACGGCACCTCACAACAACAACAACGTGAGTGAGCAAGAGAGCCGTTCAAAGCTAACAGCTGCCCCATAGAGAAGCAAGGGCAGCTTCCTCCTGTGTGATTTACTGCTTCTGAAAACCCGCTGAAGGGTCAGCTCTGGGTTGGTTTCCTGCAGCGCACAGTAACAACAACGTGAGGTCGAGCAGTGAGTCTGGATAGCAAATTGCTATAGAGTTGCATTGTTACCTCGGCTGCCCCAGCAGCTTTGAGGGAGAAAGATGGGCAGTCTTCACCTTTGTGGTGTGAAGGCTCAGGAGAATTGGTTCCAATACATCAATGAGGAGAGAGAGAAGAGAGAAGAGAGGATAGAGGAGAGAGGAGAGAGAAGAGAGAAGAGAGAAGGAGAAAGAGAGAGAGAGGAGAGGAGAGGAGAGGAGAGGAGGGGAGAGAGAGAAAGAGAGAGAGGAGGAGAGGGGAGGGGAGAAAGGGGAGAGAAGGGAGAGAGGAGAGAGACGAGAGAGAGAGAGAGAGAGAGAGAGAGAGAGAGAGCAATAGAGATAGAGAGAGAGATAGCAATAGAGATAGAGAGAGAGAGGAGGGGAGAGAGAAAGAGAGAGAGGAGGAGAGGAGAGGGGAGAAAGGGGAGAGAAGGGAGAGAGGAGAGAGAGAGGAGAAAGAGTGATAGCAATAGAGATAGAAAGAGAGAGAGAGATAGCAATAGAGATAGAGAGAGGAGGGGGAGAGAGAGGAGAAAGGAGAGAGAGAGGAGAGAGGAGGGGGAGAGAGAAAGAGAAGGAGAGGAGAGGAGAGGAGAGGAGAGGGGAGGGAAGGGGAGAGGAGGGGAGGGGAGGAGAGAGGGAGGGAGAGGGGAGAGAGGAGAGAAAGGGGGGAGAGAGGAGAGAGAGAAAGAGGTAGATATGAGACAGGAAATGCAACAGCACCCAATAATAACAAGAACCACATTAATCTAGAGGCTCCCACCCGAGGACCTGCCCACCCCTCTGTCCTCCCGGCACTTTACTTGTAAGGAGAACATTGCTTCCATTTCCCATCTTTGTTGTAATTCGCCGTCAGTGAGCACCAACTCCGATTCAAAATGTAGCCTTTCTTGGTGCAGTTGTAGTGGTAAGCACCCTTGTAGATGAAGGGGAAGACACACTTGGGAGGGTCTGCAGAGAAAATGGGGGGAGAAGGGGAACACGGCAAGTCTTGTGATTATTCATTGCTAATCAACAACACACAATCTTCCCATTGTACCAAACTGTCGCCCAGAGAGCTCAACCTTGTTACCGTCTGTTCAGAAATGGCTCTCAGTTTACCCTCCAGTGGGCTCTCAGAGGTTATTAAGTTGCACGGGAGGAGATTGCCCATCTTTCTCTCTCTTTGCAGCTGGTGGATTTGAACCACCTGTATTTTGGGATTGACAGCTCAGCTCCTTACCCACTAGACCACCAGTGCACAGTAAATGTGGTCAGACTAAAATGCAAACTAAATTCACTGAGGTCAAGTCAATTCTGACTCTACAGAGTTTCTGAGCCTGTAGGTTTTAATGGGACTCAATGGTTTCTCTGAGGAGCAATTGCTGGGTTTGAAATGCTGCCCTTTCAGGTCAACACACAAAGTGAGATGTTGTCAGAGCTCTGTGTACAGAGTGGAGAGCAGCTAACCTCCCTGCATGACAGGTGCTCAGTCTTACACGTGCACCTCAGCCTTAATGTTCCAATTTCATATTCTAGTTTGAGCAAGAAACCTGCAAACAAGGACAAGCCCAGTTTCCTAAAACAGAGACCATGTGTTCTATTACCTCCTCCTTGTAAACATTAAAATGACTGACTGACATCAGGTTTGGAGTAAGACTGAGAAAAACTGGATAGGTTATGTATACTGAATTGAAACAGATGAGGGAGAGAACAGCTTAAAAGTGATATATGATAGCATACTATGATTATCACAGGAATCCAGAATTTAGGTTGCATAGTGGAGTGCATTGGGGGGGGGCGTCAGGGGTATTGTATACCAACAAAGAAGTTTATCTTTTGCTTTTCAAAGAGAGGCGCGAACTGGGGGGAAGCGGGTAAAGAAAAAAGTGCAACAACGAACAAATGAAAATCCAAAATCTCTGTAAATGTTCAAATGTAGAAAGTGACTGACATCAGGGTTGGGGTAAAACTGAGAAACACTGGATCGATTATGCATACTGAATTGAAACAGATGAGGGAGAAAACAGTTTAAAAGCGATATATGAAAAAAAAGCTATATATGATGATAGCATGTTTGATCAATCTCCGGACGATTTATCAACAACCTGCGTTATGCGGATGACACAACCCTGCTTGCTGAAACTGAGGAGGACCTGAAGCACCTGCTGCAGAGTGTCAAGGACTGCAGCCTACAATATGG